CAAATGGATGGTGTGCGTGATCCTGTCGTCTTTCAGCTTTTTGCTGTTTGAAGTATTCTTGGCAAGTGCTGTTAGTCTTGCTGATGAATGTTAACCTACGGGTTCATTCTGACTGTAGAAAGGATAACAGAAGAGACCGAGACGCCCGACCACCGCCAGAGCCAAAGAAATACGACGAAGCCCCAATCCCTGTAAGTCCGTCACCGGGCATCAAACTTTGGCAGTTGTCATAGTTGCTAAAGGCTGTTCCTGAAGCTCTTGGGCTCCTCCCCCCCTCCACATTTTAGTCCAGCCCGCCACCAACCACCACCACCAGCAGCAGGCACCAAATAATGAACGACTGAACGATTTGCCTGAACGCAATTTGCTGAGAATGCCCGATTGTCTTTTTCAGAAGTTCAGCTCAGCCAGTAAGTACGCTGCTTTACTAATGGATGGAGACGGCGACGACGCTGGCGACGTGGAGTAGAGAAGACGGCAAAGAAGAGGAGCAAATGAACACAAGAATAATAATTTCACATAGCTTATATTCTCCTTATGCGGAAGTAGCCCCCGGGAGGACACTCAGCCCTCCCTCTCTCCCTCCCTCCTTCCCTCAAACCTGTCTTTTCCCTTCCATCTCCCTTCTCCTCTCCCTCCTCTGCCCCACTCTTGAGGACTCTTTCAGGTTCCACACAATAGTCACCTTCTGGACTTGTTTTAATTGGGCTGGGAATAATATGAGTGTTTAGCTCAATGAAATGTGATGGATAACGTTGGCAAATTGTAATAAATAAATGGAAAAAGTGGGGAAAAAAAGAATTTGTATATTTGTGGATCAAAGGTGCGGTGGATTGATCCTAGTTGACGTAGCTATGGCACCGTAATGGACTTTTAAATTCGAATCAATCATTCCCATGATGACTTTGCGTACCTCCTACAAAGGCCACATCAATTTTTTTTTTTTTTATTAGTCATTTGAAAATCAATTCTTTTAACTCTTCTCGCTCGAAACGTAATCACAAATCTTGTCTTCCAGCACTGGCTTCGAATCTGAAAGTAACGCATGGAACGTTTTCCACATGTCCACTGTACAACATGTTTAGACGTGATTCACTTAACACTCCGAATGACACTAAACAGCCGCCTCATGACTCACCTCGAGTCTTTAAGTGCCATTATTGTTCAGCCCTTACCATTGTACAGACTTTGTTCTCTTTCTATCCCTTCCGATGAAATCATCGCTTCAATGAAAGTCTTATTTGCGCTCCTTTCTGGCCGTCTTCCCGTCCTCCACTGCTGTCCACAAATCTTCCTTCTCTTCCTCATGTGAGGGCCGCAGTGTGGGAGGTTTTCATGACATGACCTTTTTTCCCGCTTGCAATAAAAGGGGTACACAGCACGTTCTTCCCAACTGTTTATGTCTTTACTCCAATCGACGAGTGCCTTGCGTTTTTGCGCACAACTGGAGAAGTCCTTTGAATGTACTTTATTTGAACATGTCCGTCGGTTTGTACGTGCTAAAAATGTGGGTCAACTTTTGTCGTTTTATTGTTCTCAAATTACGTATCCGTATACGGCATTTTCCTATTTTCGAAAATTACATATGCAGTGTGAAACCAATGTACATGTTCACATTAAGTACGTTAGAAGGACTTTTTGTTTCGGTGGGTTATTGAGGGGGGCGGGGAGCTGATTTTGATATGACATTCTCACCAACCCCCCACGTTTCCTTGTATGACCTCAAATCGCACAGTGGATTTTTATTTGTATCTTAATTTTCACAGGAGGTCCAATATAGCAAGTTGATGTTATAATCAGAACTATCCACGTTAACTCATTCAATGCCAAGAATGTTTTTTTTTAAAGAATCCAGGCATTCATTCCCAGGTATGTCTATGTATTTACATTTTTTTTTAACATTGTAGGATAAAGGGTCTGAAAATGACTAGCGCTGAAAGCTAATGTAGTGAATGACTAATTTAGGATACTTTTTTTCTCAGATTACCCGAAGAAATGGCAAGAAAGCCAAAGGTCTTCAATGCCGTTTTAACTGAAAATGGAAAATTCTGGGACAGAACTAAGGTTGAAGAACAAAATTAGAACCCAAAACCTCTGTCTTGACTTTTTTCTATTTATTTTGCAACTCTGAATAAAAATGACTTTGGTCCCAAAAATGTAGCTGAACAAAGTCACAAATTGTTAAAAGATAACTTAAAAGAAAAAAAAATTATATATATATTTATATAAACTACTGGTAGTGCAAGTAAGTGTAGAGTACTTAAAAGTATGAACAGCTGATCCAGTCAAAGACACTAAACAGTAAAAAGTGCTTCTTTTTACAATGGTTTACAAAGTTGACTCTGTCGATTTGGTTCACACATTTGTAATCGGTTACATAAAACATCCTTTTTTTGGGGGGGGAATATTGTATTAAAATCAACTGAGCTAACCAAATGATGTTGAAAGTAGTACATTCATGAAACTTGACATCCACAGGCTGCTATGAAACCCAATCGCAATGAAATCAACCAGCAATACATTTAAAGCCTAAATGTGTTGACTCCTCTGCAGTCCTGCCAATCATAGGATGACGACTTCCACCAGTTGTGATGTCCCAACAACTTTTTTTGCCATCTAGATGTTCTTGTAGTGTGGTCTGCAGGGACATATCTCCAATGTTTCTTCAGCCGGGCCCCCCTTACTGCAGCTTGGAATCCTGGTGGCAGCTGGTAAGAATCCTGCTGAGCTTCATCTCACACTCACTCACTCACATGAAGGTCAGGTCAGCATGCCGGCCAATAACGTGTTGGTCTGATTTACAAGCATCGTAAATGGGATACCTTTCATTTTTTTGCTGATGATGCACTACCGTTTGAACTAAATTTAAGATGCATGTTTACTACATTTAAGTACATGCATTGATCTCAAGAGTCCATTTTAAGTCATAACTTGAAGTAATTTTTTCAATGGTTCATTTTTAGTGCTAAATTTACATTTACAAATTTCCACAGACGTGATGTCTTTTTAGATGTTGCAAAAGCAGTGATTTTTTTTTCCCTTCACATGCCCTCAACTGTGAGACATTTCTGCCATTAAGGGCTATATAAATAAAATTGACTTGACTTGATTTATCCATCCACACTTTTGACGGAAGGTCTGTGCTTCCAAGTTATTTTTTGTTTTTTTTTTCTTATGTACTTTTTGGTGAGCGATGGATTTTGCCTGGAAATTTTGCCATTGATACTGTTTCTGCCCCGTCTCCCTTATTGTCCATTTCCTTTGTTTGTGTCAATATACTTCTTTCTGACAGTTGGCCTTTTTTTTTTTGTGGTTCAGTTAAATAATATCCTCTATCTGAGCATCAAAACCGAATACATGGATGCAGTTTTTCAGTTGACGCACGTCGATAGTTGTGTGGTGCTCAGTCGTTTTTAGTCGATGGGTTTGAGTCGCCAACTGCAATTTTTTTTCTCCATGGTGCACACCAGTTGTGCTCGGCTGCATTGCACAGTGTGCTGGCCTTCCAGGTAAGCCTGCTTTGAAGTTTATGAACTTTATTGACCATGTAGCATGTACACATTTTAAATCACATATTCTGCGTTATTTATCAGTAGTTCATGTTATTAACGCATGAGTTTTTTTTTCCAAGTACATTTTCGTGCGACGAAGAACCAAATTCCCACTTGGATCGAGAGCTGGGAAGGTTTGGAAATCCTGAAAGAGACTATTCGGCTCCAGCCCCCCACCTGTGTCGCCTTGTGAGTCAGCAGCTGGTTCTCGCTCACCCACGCACACACCATCACCCGTCACAGCATATGACAGCCTAGGTCCTGGTGTCATTTACCTACTCTTCTCGTGCCTGAAGATGTCATCAATCATTAGCCTGTGACTGACTGTCTGGTTGTACAGTAAATGTTAACATGTTAATGGACTGAAGCCTCCTTTATTTTGCATGCACAGATTGGTCCCGCCCAAGAAGCCGAAGAACGCCTCGAGCAGTTTAAAACCTCCTCGTAGAAAGAACTTCTTGTTTGAAATTTTCCTCGACCCAACAGTCTGCTAAAAGCCGAGTTTTGTCTGAGGAATTACAGTTCAGCGTGTGGTGCATAGAAGGCGAGCCGTGTTGAGATTTAAGCACACAGACAATCATTGTATTCCGTCTCAGTGGAGTGGAATCAAGAATGGAAATCAGTCTATTTCTGCTCTTTCCTGTCAAAAACGCTGCGGTCTTAGAGTACTTTCAAGCTGAATAATGAATCCTGATTGACGCCACAGGAGACACGACACAAGATCTTGCATTTTAATTAAAGTGGAACGATGTGACTCAGTGCGATCATGATTCGATTTGATCAGGTATGCCACAGTTTGAGTTATAATACAAATATGAATTAACTTGTCATCCCTGTAAATTTCCTCCAAATGGATTTATTAAAGTCAGATATTCCAGTTAATTGTAATTTCACCATTTACCACCAGATGGCAATATCATGTCAGTTGCACTTGCCCCAGGTCTTATACTGCCCTGTACTGCGTGAGTAGGCTGAATGATTTGCGGATTTGGGATGACATTCAGGACAAACATAGTACCTGAATAACATAATTTTGAGTGGGTTGATGTTCAAAAAAAATTGCACAAAATTAGTTCTTGCACTTCATGTTGCTTTGCTGTTCAGCAGTTTTGTGCCGGCGTTGAATAGTAATTTTCATGCACGAGCACTTTGCACTGGGGGGGTGTCACAGTATGTGGTTATTTTTTTGATTGTTCAAACCCTTTGTTGTTGAAGGCTGGATGTTTTGCACATGCATTGAGAAATGTATTATGTAAAACAAAATGTATTAAGAGCACATATTTTGCACATGTGCACATATTTTTTTCCATTGTCAAAATGGCAATTTTGTCATAGGTGTGGTTAGGATGTGCGCCGCCCTATGTGACTCACGAGTAGCACTGTTGAAAAACAATACACGTATAGATGACAAACAATAACATTTAAAAAAAATATTTTATCCACCCGTAGGTTTTTTTTAATACAGATCTACAGCCGCGTCCTCAAATGAAGTCAAGCACACGTCTCAGTGAAGAAAAGGAGCCCAAAGAAGGCTCGATCCTGCTCCTGCGGCGGTGTGCAGACTAGAAAGAGTCTGGATGGGTCAGGCTGCATGCAAGCGGCTCCTTCTGCGAGAGAGTGAGAGGGGCTTGAAGTGAAGCCAACCGGGGAAGTGGAAGGACCATAAACAGCTGCCCCCTTCTCCCCCCCATGCAGAGACAGCAAAAGGAGCCCGATGGAAAGAGAGGGCGGATGACAGGAGGGTCTGTGGTGAGTTCGGCAAGGGAGTGTCGCGTTTGAGGGTCTTCAGAGGCAGAGGAAGGTGCTGGCAAGTGGAATGGGAGGCGGGAGGTGCTGCGTGTGCACCCGCATGCTTTGAGAGTGAGGAAAGCCGGAGTGTAAGAGGACTGGGAAGTGTGTGTGGAAGATTGGAGGGTGGCAGGAGAAGTTGTAAGAGGAGAAGCGAGAAGAAGTCACCTGCCAGAGGAGCGGGAGTCGGCAGGAGGTCGGATCATGTTGGGCAAGCGGACTTCGGACGTCAAGCTTTGAGAGGTTCTCTTCTGGCGACAAAACTTCAGAGGAGAACAGAATTGATGTGAAGGGCCACCAAAGGCTGCAAATATGGGGTGCATTCACAGCCTGGCCACCAGGAGGATTAAGGACCACCAAGATGACCCCGAAGGCACAGCTCGAAAGACCGACCCTGAGGTACTCCCTGAGATCCTGCAGCTCGCTGAGGTGAGTGAGGGAACAACTGTGCTGCATGGCATGTTCACAACTCGTTTTATAACCTGAAAAACTCCTTGCCTAGTCTCAGATTCAAAAACAGATGCTGTTCTACTACTTGGTAATGTGGCAGGCAGTCTTATACTTTTGCGTGGTTTACAAATCTTAACTCGGATGATTTTTTTTTTTTGTTGAAGTTGTTTTTATTTTTATTTTTTGCTTTGACTGAGATACTTGGTGGCAGCGATTTCAGTTCACGTCACCTCACAACAAGCAGCTGTTTGGCAGATAGTGAGCCGGTCTTCACGAAGGAGTCGTCAAGCTGTTGAATGCCACTCCCAGTTGAAGTTCACTCTCAAACTAAACCTTAGACTAAGAGAATCACACGTTTTAATGCAAAGAAGCAATGCAAAATGCCATTGACGGGCTGTTATAATGTTTTAGGCTATTGCTATTTGAACACAAATAGAGGTGCAACATATGTAGACAGACAAGAGGGGTATATAGTTTACATCCCTTGCGAAAAATGACTCTTCTTATGTTTGGATTATACTGTCCCCAGTTTCCCTAGGCGCACACACCAGAAGGAGCAGCACAAAGTCCATTGAATTAAAACAAAAAAAAGAGAAAAATATGTCGAATTTTTGTGCTCTGTTTATTAATGTCATTACTGTATGTTCTGTTATTAAAAAAAAAAAATGTACAAAAAAAACAATTTTGGGGTGGGCCAGGCTGGAATGTATTGGTGGCATTTCCCGTCAGTTCAATGAGGAAATTTGGGATTTAAGATGCACGTGTTTTGTCACAAGTTCTAATAAGTCAACTACATGTGTTAAAAGCTGGACAGAACTTCAAACCCCAAGTAGTCATAGCAATACTATTGCAATAATAGTTCCTGGAAATACATTTGATCAACCTGTACTGCATTTTAGTTATTGACCATCAATTTAGAAGTACTTCAACTTCTTCTCCTTTATCAGACCTTGGCCTGAGACACTATCAGCATCTTCAGAATGCAAATTGTATGACTTCATAAAGGCGTGTGGAAGAATCCCAGCCAATGCATTTGAGATGAACTACGACAGATTGTGAACCAAAATCACAGATTTAAAAAAAAAAAAAAAAATCCCACATTTACAAGCTTTAATAGCTGCGGAAGGGCTGACCAGTTGATTCATTGGAAATGAAATTGCGTGATGTCTCAAAACTTTTGTCCATGTAGTGAACGTCGTTACTGATGAAATGAGCTGTCCGGTGATGGCCGTTAATCATGTCCTGCGGGGTTAAGGGTTAAAAGGAAGTGGTGGTGTAGGTTACTATGCAGGGTTTGACACGTCGTCTCTCTGTCTGCTAGCTTTACTTTGGAATGACACACACGCACACACATTGCTGTGAATGGAAGCTTCGGGTGTAGTTTTATGAAGCCTGTAATAAAAAAGTGTCTGTCGGTTTTTGCGGGAGGAGGTCACACGCCCGAATGTGTGTGTTTTAACAAAACATGGCACCGTAGCGCGCTGTAAAATCACCATTACTGGTACATTTTATTTTAAAAGAAGTCAGAAATCTCCAATAAAGTGCCATGCTATCATCATGAATAACCAATAAAGCACCATATTATCTTTTACGCATGTACACCGATCTACGATGGACGTCTGGATCTCAACCAAAAAAAAAAAACATTTCCAAGATCATATGTAGTGTCAAATTCCTTCAAGCCTGCTTTTGTGTGCGTAGGAGCCTGTGTGAATTTCCTTGCACGTGTGAGTCTTTGAGTCTGCCAAATGATGATAACATGGTCTCTGCAGAATGGGTGGACTCGGCACTCTTTAATTTCATACAATTGTCCTGTCCAGTTTCCTTCCCTCTGTGTTCCACTCTCTCTCACGTGTGCATACAAACAAACATATTCCCGCACTTATTTTCAGAATTTTTGTGGCTCTTTAGAGGTGACTGCCCTTACTCGCGCTGTTATAAATACCCTGCTTGAACTGGAGCATACTCCTGGCTTGCCACCTGCTCCCGTCCCTTCTGGATTGTATGTGTGTGTATGTTTGTGTGCGTGTGTTCATGTGTGTGTGAGGGACTCCATGTATGTCATCACTGCTAAGGTGTCACGAAAGGAAACCCAAACAGGCCGATGCATTTAGCATGGAGTGGGTGTGTCACGGTACTCAAGTACAGTATTCATTTTCAAGAGTGTGTGCGTATGTGTGGTGCAGCAGTGTATTTTTAGGGGCCAAGCACTTGTGTGAAGGCCCTCTTGAAGAGACTTTGTTATGATTCTTAGATAAGTAGACTTTTTGAGCAATTTCCCATGCACTGTGTTTCCGCAGAAGTCTTGAAGTCTTACATTTCATTTTCAAACATTGTTGGCCATCATTATGCTTTAAAATGACACTTCATTCTAAAACCCAACAGTGAAAGCTCTAAAAAAAACAGTTGTGTAGTATTCCGAATTCTGTAAAGAATTTGACTCACGTTTTATTTCCTGTGTACCGTATGGATTTTATTATCACAGAAGGTAGTGAAATATTGTAAGATTGAGCTCATAATGTCCAATCCTCGTAGTTATTTTTATGAGTGGCCACGTTAATGTGGCGTTTTGCATTGGTGACTGTCGTGGTTCGAGTACTCTCATGACTTTCATGCAAGCAGCATACTCTGGGTTCCCACTCAGCCACGGTGAGAATGTTTGTTGGTATCAAAATGAATGACGGGTTACAAGGGGTAGGAGTTGGGGACCCATGCTGTCTTGAATGTGGATGAATGGATGTATTTGATCAAAGTCGTGAATTTCCAATTCCCCTAAAACCTGCACATGAAACATGTTAGCACCGCCTTAATGGTTTTCAAAGCGTTTTGTCGCCATGTCATGAGTAAAACCATTAAAAAAAAAGGGCTCAAAATGAATTTTCAAAAAAACAGGACGTTTTTCAAAGTGGTTATTTTACTATCCTTTTCCACGGGTTCTACAAATAGTAACTATTACTACTACTGGAAGATTTATCCCATAACTACCAAATTTCAAGCATGTACATTAATCAAACTCCTTGATGTGAATTGCACCCACATCTCACGCGTCTCAGTTAGTCACAGCGCAACATAGCTTGAACTAGCTAGCCTGCTATTCGAACAAGCATTCACATCATTTACACAATAAATGGAATGTAACAGTGGAGCAAGAGACAAGTAGAGTGGACGTGTGCAGTGGTCTCACATGCTTGGAGAGTGACACAGACTTTGGCCGTAAAACTCCAAAGGGGTGGGGTCCTTCACCACGTCAATTTAACTTAACACTGCTGCTGACAGTCATGGGATCCCCCTGGAGACGCAACGTCCCTCAAGCTTCGTTTCACTGTTACACAAACAAAATAAAATGGTTGAAAACAACTTCACCAAAATGGGGGGATGCAGCTAGAATGTTACCCTTAAACCTTTTTCATCTCAAAAGTGATGGCTTGTAGTGTTAGCTCTATTTTAGTACAGGGCTTTCGAGCAACACCGTTACTATTTATTTACAGCATTCAGTTGTTCTTAATGTTACCGTGAGTCATTTAATCTTATATAAGTCTGCAGTGGACACATTTATTTCGCACTTACTGGCTTTTAAAACGTCAGTACAGTCGACGAGTGGTGAGCAAGCCTGACTTAAGACTTGAGAGGTTCTGTGTTCAAAATCAGTGTGGAGTTTGCGTGATCTCCCCATGCTTTTGTGGGTTTTCCCCTACACTCTGACGGTGTATTAGAGCTGCGTGAAGAGAAATTAGTCATCTCCATTAACAAGAGCTTCAATTATGACTTTTAGGCATAGTGCTGGGTGCCTTTTCTTTCGTTTCTTGGTGCCTGCCATCAATATTCAACTTTTGCCGGATGAGCTGCACTGCGATCATTTGACCAGTAGATGGTGCCCTTGACTATTGGCAATTGGCAGCTAAGGCTATGGAACTCGATGACAGATCATATCATCAATAAGAATAACGTTGATTGTGATCATGAGGTTCAGGTCTAATCTGCCTACGGTGTATCTTAACCATGGCCACCTTGTGATGGATATTGCCCAAAACAAATGCGGTTCTTGGGGACAATCAAATTGAAAAGTGGCTTTTAGTTGTTGGTGTTGATTTCAGGCAGGAAATTGTCCGCTGTTCAAGTCAACTAACAAGAACCGGCTGTGCATGTTTGTCATACAAACCTGAGCACTATTCATCAAACAACCAAGAACAGGTTTTTATAAAACGTGCAGCTAGAAAGAACTGAACTGAGAACTATTGTGGATATGTTTACCATCTACAACTAATGACATTCTTTAATAATCGTCCCTCTGTAAACATGCCACTTGCGTCCAGTAGAATAACTACAAATTAATTAAAAACACATGGACATTATTGAGGGGGGGAGGGGATGGGGGGGGGCATGGCACCATGTTCACTCTACATTATGTAACCAAAAAAAAACCCGCTCAAGTTAAAAGTTGCTATTTCATGCATTATACATATCTATTCATAAAGGATTTATAGTCCATTCACAACACATTGGAGAAAGTGCTCTTTTATAATGCATCACAGTGAATGAGCTCAGAATTCCAGCGGGTGTCCGTGAAACTGTGCAGTGTTGGAATAATCAAAAGGTGCTTGTGTATTGGAGTTAGGGGTTAAATACTCTGCCTGTAATCCAGGCGTTGGAAAAAGGCAGGAAAAAAATATTCAAGCCATGCAGGAAATGTTTTTTCAAGGCTAAGGAAATTCAGCGATTTGTTTTACAGGAAAAGAAGTGTGTACAGGTAGGGTGTTTTGCAGCCACTTCTCTGTAGGACTCGCGCGCGCATTGGGCACCCAGAATGCTCCCGTTTCCCCCCATTAAAAGAAAAAAAACTTGTTTTAATATGATTCATACTGGAAGGCATTTTTTGGGGGGAGGATGTAGTCATAATTTACTGTACAGTGTTTGCAAATTTGGATTCCGTAGCACTGTGTGTGTATGTGTGTGTGTGTGTGTGTGTGTGTGTGTGTGTG